CCTCCAGGGCGTGGCTGCCGTCTTCTTGTTCGCCTTCGCCTCACTCTACACACAGATTCCGGGTGAGGACGCCGAGCGCGGGACACCCCGCAACCCGCGTCTGTGCCCTCCCGTTTCCCCACGCGACACAACGCTGTTTTAGGGCGGGAGCGAGGTCCAGGCCTTGATTCGTGCAGGGTTCAGAGGGTTGGAGGGCTTACAATGGTCCCTTTCCCGAAGGGGTCCGAGTTCTGACCTGGGGCGGTGGCAGAACCCAGAGGGAGGTGGGCCCAGGCCTGGGGGCACAGGTAGGAGATAAAGCTCTGACCTGGAGGAGAGTGGAACTGGGCTCTGCAGGGTGGGAGATCCAGGCCTGGGGGTCCGGGTAGGCCTTCTGGGGCCTGACCTGGGGGAGGGGGATGGTCAACAGGTTCTGACCCGTTGGGAGTAGAGTCTGCATCTCTTGACCTGGTGGGGGGGTGGGGGCTGCAGGTCTTGACCTGAGGAAGCAGATGTGCAGGCCCTGACTGGTGGCGGCCATCTAGCCTTTGAGGGCAGTGTTCAGGGCATGGCCCTGACATGCCCTCCCACAGGTCTCTATGGCACGGAGGGCATCCTACCTGCACGGAGGACACTGCGGCCGCAGGGCAAGGGGCGCTGGCAGCAGCTCTGGGAGATCCCGACACTGCTGTGGGAGGCGCCATGCCTGGGACTGGACACAGCGCAGGGCCTGGAGCTGCTGAGCCTGCTGGGCACCTTGCTGGCCCTGGGTGCGCTGCTGCTGCGCCGGCTGCGCCACCCCCTCGTCTACCTGCTGCTCTGGGCCGCCTACCTGTCAGCCTACCAGGCGAGTGGGGCTATCTGCCGCCCCCACACACCACTGGGGAACTTGTCACCAACTCGCTCCAGCCCCATCCACACTCCACTCCACCCCTGTCGCTGCCTTGCCCGCCTCCCTAGGCATACATCTCCTGCCCCCTGACACTGCTTCTCCTTGCAGGTGGGCCAGGTGTTTCTTTATTTCCAGTGGTGAGTGACGATTACATGTGGGCCTGCAATTGGCCTGGGGGTGGGGCGAGGGTGGGGCAGGGTGTGTCTGCCTCTTTCCGGAGGACCCTCTGACAGGAGCGCCTTGATGGGGGCCGGGCCTTTTGTGCGCTTCCTGCTCCCCGTAGGGACTCCCTGCTGCTGGAGACTGGCTTCCTGGCCGTGCTGGTGGCCCCCCTGAGGCAGCCCCCCAAGGGCAGGCTGGCGGGGGCCTTGCCTCACGAAGACCTCCCCTTCTGGCTCGTGCGCTGGCTGCTGTTTCGCCTCATGTTCGCCTCTGGTGTGGTCAAGCTGACCAGCCGTTGCCCCGCATGGTGGGGGCTCACTGGTGAGGATCCCAGACCGGACCCAGGGCAGTCTTGGGTCTGCACAGCCCTGACCGCCCACTGTCACCTGCAGCCCTCACCTACCACTACGAGACGCAGTGCCTGCCCACACCTGCCTCCTGGTTTGCCCACCACCTTCCCGTCTGGCTGCACAAGCTCAGCGTGGTAGCCACCTTCCTCATCGAGATCGCCATGCCACCTCTGTTCTTCGTGCCCGCTCGCCGCCTGCGCCTGGCTGCCTTCTACTCCCAGGTGGGTGGGGCATCAGCCATCAGGGAGACAGGTGGGACATGGCCTTCTTCTGCACTACCCAGCGGGTCTTGTTGGGGACAGGGTGGCTGCTGCCTTGTGGGCAGAGGGACGAGCTAAGTCACAGTGGGAAGGTGTGTCTGTGGGGCAGGGAGCAGCTTCGCTGGGGGGCATCATTCTCTGATCAGCAAGAGCACAAGACGTGCTGAGCTCGGGTTTGCTCCGGGTGGTGGTGGAAAGCCCTGGGAGGTATGGGTAGGGAGTAGAAGACAGATAGATGGGACAGGACAGAGGCCAGGGGGTGCTAGAGAGGGGGCAGGAAGCCTGCAGGAGAGACTGAGGCATGCGCCACGGCTCCAAAGGGCTCAGGCCAGGGCAGCCTTGGAGCGCTGAGTGCCGACCCCTGCCCAGGTCTTGCTGCAAGTCCTGATTATCATCACTGGCAACTACAACTTCTTCAACCTGCTCACCCTGGTGCTCACCACTGCCCTCCTGGATGACAAGCACCTGGCTGCCGAGTCTGGCAACAGCCACCGCAAAAATGCACCTGCCTGTGAGTGACAGCCTGCCCGAGACAGCCAGCCATCCTCACTTGTGTCCCCTTCCTTCCAGCATCCCAAGTGGCCTCTACCCTAGCTACCCCCAGCTGGCCCTCTACCCTCTTCCCAGCTGACCACGACTGCCCTGCCCTACAGCCTGGCCCAAAGCTCTGATGGGCCTGCTGGCCTTGCTCCTGGAGCTGACTGTCCCCGGGCTGCTGGCCTATGGCACGGTGCACTACTTCGGCCTGGAGGTGGACTGGGAGCAGCACACTGTCCGCTCCAGAACCAGTGAGTGCCAGCTGGGCACCGGGGGGCGGGGCCGGACCGCCCATCCTCACACCAGCTTCCTCCCACAGCTTTCACCTTCCACCAGTTCTCCCAGTGGCTGAAGGTGGTGACCCCGCCCACCATGTGGCTGGGGGTGGCCTCCCTCACCTGGGAACTGCTGAGGGCTCTCTGGAGGTGTGTGCCGGGGAGGGGAAGGGG